GGGGGGGGGGACGAACCTACTGACCCCATCACTCGGCTGCTGCCATTACTTGTCTCTATCTCTCTTTTCTCTCTCACTCTCCCTCCCTCTCTTCTGCCTGCCTCTCTCGCTGTCTATCGCCGCGCCCTTACAGTAGACTCCTTGCACTGTGTACAGCGTTTTGAAAAGAAATCATCAACCAACAAACTTAACATTATTTTCATTAAATTTTTAAAAAACGCAAATTAAACCAACGCTTCTTTTAAAAAATGTGTCTTTGACTTGGTGTAAAGAATTTTGTGAAACGTCAGCTGTTGAAAAACTATACCGCCGCTATCCTCCTGACTGTTGCAGAAGCTAAGCTTCATGAACGGGTCCTTCCTCTTCGGCCTATGGAGGAAGCCCCCGGTGCACATTTACGTGCAGGTCTACCTCTTCAACGTCACCAACCCCAGGGAGTTCCTCAAGGGGCAAGAGAAGCTTCGCCTCGAGGAGGTCGGACCGTTCGTGTATCGGTAGGTCATCTCACCATGATGGTCAACACTCTTAGTTCCGTACGAAGAGCAGTCTTCATATTACGAAGGATTGGGTTTGTAAAGTACAAAGGGTCTGGAACCACCACATCACAAACAGATTTTCTTTGTATTACAAAAAGTGCCGCTCGTAATACAATGGATTTGTTTGTATTACGAAGGTGCCAAATCCTTTGTTCGTTACAAGGGGCAGGTCTTATTTGTAAGAAACTTACGGTGAAGATGAAGAAGGTAGTTCGAAGAGGTTCCCGATTGCTTATTTGGCGATGACTTGCTTTTCCCCAGGGAGGAGCTGGAGAACAGCGACGTCACGTTCAACGACAACGACACCATCTCCTACACGACTCGGCGCAACGTGATCTACGTCCCGGAAAAGTCCGTCGGCGACCCGCGGGAGGTGACAGTCCTGGCTCCCAACATCGGCCTGCTGGTAAGTCCTGGGGGAGGGGTCCTCGGGGGGCAAAGTCCGCGCTGCCGTCCGGCGACACGGCGAGGTCCAGATCCCGGTCGACGACCCGGGCCCTTGACCTCTCTGCCTGTCGCGGAGCCCACTTCG